CTGGGCACCCACCACCTCCCCTTCGGAATTGAAGGTCACCTGTGCTGCGCTCCGACGAGGCAGCTGGCCAGCATCAGCCTTTACTGTTTGGAGTGTCTCCCTTTCCTGAGTATGGATGACCACAGTGTCCTGCATATGGTCTCTCACATGTTACTTTTCCTGTCTGAGTGAGAGCATCTTCAGGAAAGACTGCATTCGAGGGGCCCACAGCCCCACAGTGTTAATGAGGGCACAGTCTGTGCATAGGCCACCAACCAAGCCTGTGGCTGCCTGTGTTCAAACCCCTCCAGGAGAGGCGGCTAGACCTAAGTGGGGTTGAAGAAGCCTCCAGACACCTGCTGTGTTCAAGACTGAGCCCCAGATCTTCCTCCTCCTCCTCTTTCTTTCTTTTTATTTTTTTGGTATCAGGGATTGAATCCAGGGTGCTTCACCACAAGCCACATCCAGTCCTTTTTATTTTGTATTTTGAGACTGCATCTTGCTAAGTTGCTCAGGACATTGCTACTTTGCTGCGACTGGCTTTGAACTTGTGATCCTCCTGCCTCAGCCTACTGAGCCTCTAGGATTACAAGCGTGCACCACCACACCCAGCTGCAGAGCCTGAATTGTGAGGCCCTCTGCTGACCTGGGACCTGGCAGCTGAGCAGGACAGCAGAGCTGGGCACCTACCCAGTCCTGCCACAGAAATGCTGACATCCACCCAGTCCCACCAGGTGGACCCTGATGCCCACCCAGTCCTGCCATATAGATGCTGCTGTTCCCTCTCTAAAAACAGTAGCATTTTCTTCTCCATGAATTGGAGAAATGGCTGGAGCCATGTTCTGCATGTTTGGGAGCCAACCCCCTGGGGTTTGACCCCAGTTCTCTCTTACCAGCCAGATGACCTCACCCCGATCATGTCATCTCTCTGTGCCTGTTTCTCCTGCAGGAAGGAATAATGGCTTTACCCATAGGGCATTGATGTTTGCAAGGTGCTCAGAAGTGATGGCTTGCCCTGCTGGGTGCCTGCCTGCCTCACTCTGGTGCTGGCCTTGAACAGCATGCTGACTGGATCAGCTTCCATCCTCTGTGGTCCTTGGTGGATGGTTGAGTGAATTTCCACAAAAGTGTGAGGACGATTCAATAAGGGGAAGAACAGCACTCTTATCAAATGGTTCTGGGGAAGCTGGGCATCCCCTGCCAATGCATGGAGCTGGAGTCCTCCTTCACCCATGCATGCGATCGGCGGGATGGGTCACAACATTAACACAGCCACCTAGCCACTGAGAGTGAGCCGTGGCCATCGAGTAGGTGCAGGGCTCTGACTCCATAAACATAAGCAACAAAAGGAGGAAGAAACCAAGTGAACTTCATCAGAACTAAAACTTCTGTGCTGGAAAGTGAGAAGAGGACCCTCAGGATGGGAGAAACGATTGCAAATTGTATGTCTGATAAGAGACTTGTATCCAAAGAAAGTGATTCTTCATTTCCAACATAAAAAACAAACTAATTAGCCAGGTGCATTGGTTCACGCCTGTGATCCCAGCAGTTCTGGAGGCTGAGACAGGAGGATTGTGAGTTAAAAGCCAGCCTCAGCAAAAGCAAGGCCCACCTGAGTTCAATTCCTGGCACCAAAAAAAAAAAAAAAAAAAAAAAAAACCCAAAACTAATTAAAAAATGGTTCTGGGCATGGTGGTGCACATCTGCAATCCCAGCAGCTCGGGAGACCAAGGCAGGAAGATATCGAGTTCAAGGCCAGCTTCAGCAATTTAGCAAGGCCCTAAGCAACTTAGCTGTCTCTAAATGAAACATTCAAAGGGCTTGGGACATGGCTCAGTGGTTGCACACCCCTGGAGTCAATCCCCCATACCAAAATAAAATGAAATAAAAATAAATTAATCAATTTAAAATAAATAAATAAATAAAGGCCCAAGGATTTGAATGGACTTTTCTCTAAACAGGTGGCTGTGACATGGCTGGTGAGCGCCTGACACTGAACACCCCGGTCATTGTGGAGACGCTGGCATTCCGCAGCCTCCAGCCAGTGCAGAAGGACTATGTGGGTGTCGGCAGGAATGTGGAGAAGTGGAACCTGACATCACCACAGGAATCCCAGATGCAGGCAACAAAAGTGGCTGGACCCCAGGAAGCAGCTGATGGGGCCTCCAGTCACACCTCACCTCCTCCCCAGCTCTCTCTCTTTTAATGGGCATTTTTGCTTTGAGAGTGGGAGGAAGGCAGGAGGGCTGTGCCTCAGGCCTGGGTCTGTTCTGGAAAACAATGCCAATAAACTCCCTGCCCTCAGAACTCCAAACTGGCCAGGTGCAGCTGGACTGTTACCAAACACAGGTGAGTCCCCCTTGCTGTGGAGCCAATCAGGCCACTGCCAGGACCAGAAGGAAACAGGAAACGGTCAGATATGCTGGCTGCACCTCGAATCCCAGCCTCTCTGGAGGCTAAGGCAGGAGGGTCGCAAGTTCAAAGCTGGCTTTAGCAACTTATCGAGGAGGCCCTGAGTAACTTAGTGAGACCATGTCTCAAAATAAAAAATAAGAAGGGCTCGGGATGTGGCTCAGTCGTCAAGCACTCCTGAGTTCAATCCCCTGAACATACAAAAAAAAAAAAAAACACAAAAAACAAAAGGAAGGTCAAGACTGGCCTGCAGACTGGCTGCAGGAGGAGAGTGGGGTGGTCACCTGTTGGGCCCTGAGAGCAGCCCCAGGTCTTCACTGGAGAGGCTGGTTCATGACTCTGTGTGTGTTTGGGGGGATAGAACTCAGGGCGTTCTACTGTTGAGTCACACCCTTGGAACTTTTTATTTTATTATTTATTTATTTATTTTTAAAGGTTACAACTAATTGAGGAAATACTTCCTTTTTATTTTATTTTATTTTTTTAGTTGTTGATAGACCTTTATTTATTTATTTATATGCGATTCTGAGAGTCGAACCCATTGCCTCACGCAGGCCAGGCAAGTGCACTACCACTGAGCCCCAGCCCCAGCCCCAACCCCAACTTCTTATTTTTTAATTTGAGACAGGGTCTTGTTAAATTACTGAGGCTGGCCTCCAGCTTGTGATCCTCCTGCCTCAACCTCCCAACTTGCTGGGATGACACGTGTGTGTCACTGCAGTCTGGTTGATTCTCAACTGTCTTGGTGCCCTTCAGAGGCCCACTCTCAGGTTTAGAGCCTTGTGCCTCTCTAATTCCCAGGCCACATCCTCTGCAGTGCACCAGGTCCTTGTACCTATTTTTCTCCTCAATAACTGTGGGCAGGTTACTTCTGTCTTTGACTAATATTTTTGTTTGACTCACTTAAGTCCCAATTTTCAGTTAGAATTTTCATTTATTGGAACAAACATGACTCAGCTGGGCACAGTGTCACACACCTGTAATCCCAGTGGCTCGAGAGGCTGAAACAGGAGGATTATGAGTTCAAAGCCAGCCTCAGCAAAAGTGAGGTGGTAAGCAACTCAGTTTGACCCTGTATATAAATAAAATGCAAAATAGGCTGGGGATGTGGCTCAGTGGTCAAGTGCTACTGAGTTCAATCCCTGGTCCCCCCCCACACCAAAAAATCAATAATAATCATGCCACAGATTTATTTAACTCAAGATTGAGGAGGCCAGGAAGCATACAGAGCTGTTTGTAGGATTGTGATAGAATGTGGGGGAGATGCTCCTGGGTGCATGTTGGCTTCACCCTGATATCTTCAACTGGAAGTGCCTTGGATGCACCTGACCCTGAACATCCAGGCTCAGCAGAGTAGTCCTACCAAGGGCTACTGTGCCTTGTGCTGGCAGCTGACCAGGATCGGCTGCTCTCCAGTGCCCTAAGAGCTTCATACTGTTTATGGCCAGTCTGGGAAAAGGTGAAAATGAAAAGTTGAAGTACTATTTCTACATGCATATTGCTTTCATACTGGTGTACAGTAAAAAACCCAAGACAAATCACTATAAGTTTGAGGTTGAATGCTTCTAGAAGCATCTAGTCACCAGTGAGGGGTGCAGTGGGTTGGGGCCTGTGTGCTCGATCTGGCCCTTGCGGGCCCTCTGGGCTGGCCCCCACCCCCTGCATTGCTGGCAGGTGTGAAATGGCAAGCTTCTGTTGAAAACTGTGTAGCGGCTGTAGTTAGGTGCTGTCTGAGGAACAGGATAAAGGCTATTTATTACCTGGGGCCTGCGAGCAGCAGGGGTGCACGCGCAGGCAGGCAGGCAGTGCTTGGTTCTGATTTCTGGAGTGGAGTCTGTATCTTTTGGCAATTCTCAAATTTGGGAGCCACGGACCTTTCAGTGAGCCTGGAGGTTGAGGCCAGGGTGGCCCATGTCCTGCCCTTGGAACGGCTATGCACACTGCAAGCTCTCACCACCCACTGTGCATGGACTCCAGTGACCCCTGGAACCTGGCAGCCACCTGAGGCCAGGGATGGTGGGGACCTTGGTGCTGCCAGTCCATACTCATCCCCACAGCCATGCTCACTGGGAAGAGATCCCACACCAGCCGTTCTGTGCAATGACGGGGTTCCAAAGCTGAGTATTCCAAATTCACATTGGGGTAGACGACGCCCCTCAGGGTTGTAGGTGGGCAGGGGATGAGGCTCAGAGGCGGCTCCTTCCAACCTTGGCCTGCCCGTGTCCCAGCACCTATAGGAGTCACAGGCTGTGTTGAAGAACGGGAACGCAAACTACTGATTCTTAGTTTTACTCATTCCTTGTTTTACTCATACCCCTTAGTTTTTTACTCATATCTCTCCTCAACTTAGGAAGAATTTAAATGTTTTGGTACTGATTTCCAATTAAAATGTCTAACATGTTTGCCTCCAATGTGAGTTTCACATTACAAACTCCTGCAAATTTTTTTTTTAATATTTATTTTTTAGTATTAGGTGGACACAATATCTTTATTTTATTTTATTTTTATGTGGTACTGAGAATCGAACCCAGTGTCCCGCGCATGTCAGGCGAGCACACTACCACTTGAGCCACATCTCCAGCCCTTCTGCAAGTTTCATTGAGTTAAAATTGCAAATGCCAATCTTTTATGTTCATTCTGGAGAGTTAACAGTTTTCAAGCAGTTAAAAAGTTATTTTAAACCTTCCAAAAATAGAAATAGTACAAGAAAATAGAATCATTAGAAGAGGAAATCAAAGCAAGAAAAGGCTAAGAGTAGAAAACAGAGCAGAGTTGTGCACACAAACAGGCCGCACTCCACCTTGTACATTCTACAGCCGAAGCAGAAGGAAAATAGTTTTCAGTGTCCACCAGTAAGAAGGAAAGTCAGTTTGTCAACAGAGGGTTGCATCCAGCGTCCCCTGAGAGCTTCACCATCTGGGCAGGTGTGGCCAGTCCTGGCTGGGGCACTTCCAGCCTCGTGCATTGCAGGCAGGAGAGAAGGGGCAGTTGAACAGCTTGTGTTGCAGTTGAAGGTCTTCAACACTCGTCTTCTTGGTTCTCCAGTCCCAGGTGAGCTCCTTCGGGATCAGCTGCAGCTCTCTGGCAGATGTGGACCAGGAATCCTCAAGAGCTCAGCACTCAGGTAGGCCTGCCTGGATGCAGACCCTCTGTTCAGGTCTGGCTTCTCTCTCTACAGGCCCACAAAGGTGCTCAATGCTTGTGATTGTGCCCTCACTTGGGAACTGTGCTGGTCAGCCCCAACCAGAGGATAGGGGGTGTGGTGGTCCCAGCATGTGGTTGCAGGCCTCAGAGACTGCTGATTCCCTGGTTGGACCTGGGAGAATGATGATGCTGTCTGCAGAAACTGGGACAGCAGAAGGGCTGGGGTGTGGGGAGGGAGAGGTGGCTCTGACGCATGAGCAGGAGAGGTTGACTAGCTAAGCTGGAGGACCAGTGGCCAGAGGGCTGGAAGGGTGGGGAGACCAGCGAGGGGCTGGACTTTGAGCAGATTCCTGGCCTCAAACAGGGATGGTGAGTGAAGAGAGGTGAGGCGGTTTGAAAAGGGGAAAATGCAGGAAGCCCAGCGCGCTGGAAAGCTTACCGCAGAGGAAGGGGTTGGGACAGGTCAGCATGCTGAGAGAAAGCACTTACAGGCACATCACAGAGATCCATCTGGCTGAATCCAGCTGAGGCTCCCAGATCCTCTGGAAGGGCTGAAGCATCAGGCTTGGGGCTCTGAGAGGAAGCTCTGGCTCTGGGAGCACCTCTGCTCTGAGGCTGCAGCACTTTGTACTTTGGTCTTTGTACTGCAGCTGCTGCTGTAGGGACTCAGCTGTGGTGTCCTCTTCTCACAGGGAGCTACTCCTGGCCCTGGCCGACCTGGATCCAGGCAAGTGCCAGGAGCCGCTGCGGAGCAGAGGTTGGATCTCAGCACTGCGCCCTGGCTGCAAGGGAGGCTGAGGAAATATTCTAGCACCTACACGGGGGAAGGTTCTGAAGAGGGTGGAGTGGACAGGGGCTCCTGGGGATGTCTTTGTTGGGGGTACTGAAAGGAGAGACAGAGACAGGGACAGATATTCAGAGAGAAGCAGGGAGGCGTCTTTGGATGTAACAGGGGTTCACTTGATGCTTTGACTATATCTCTTATGGCTTTGAAATTTACATGTTTTTTTTTTCTTTTTCCCAAACAACTTCTCCCCGATCTCTTCCCTGATCTTCTTTTCCCTGACCTCCTCCCTGATGTTCATTTCCCTGATCTTTTTCCTAATCTCTCATCCCTAATCTCATTTTCTCTGAATCACCTCTTTAAAAGCCCCCTGTTCCTGCTGATGGGCACAAGCACAGCCTTTGGGACAGGAGTCCCCTCTGTTTCTCCTTTGCTAGCAAAGCAATAAACCTTTTTCCTTTTTCTCAAAACTGTGTCCTTGTTATTGGATCAGCATTGGGGACAAGGATTGAGCTTTCGGCAACATGGAGGGACACTGGGAGGGCTGATGGAGGGAGCAGAGTGGGAGAGACCAGGAGAGGTGGGAGCAGAGCCTGCCACATAGAGAAGAGCTTTCTGAGAAGGAGAGAAATGGAGGTGGAGGAAGCTCATGGACTATGGCCTCACTGACTTAGGACAAGTCCTGCAGACAGGATGGGGTGATACCCAGGGGGAGTGGCAGTGCTGGAGGCATAGGCAGGAGGGCTCTTGGAGGTGGGAGCCTAGGATGGTACATGGAGGGTGAACCCCCGCTGCTCATGTCTGGCCCACTGTGGTCAGGCTTAGTCTCCAGCAGTTTTCCCATTTCCTTTTCTTTTTTTCACAACTGGGGATTGAACCTGGGGTACTCTACCACTGGGCTACATCCCCAGCCCTTTTTATTTTTGAGACCAGGTCTTACTAAATTGCTGAGGTCGGCCTCCAACTTGTGATTTTCCTGCACTGACCTTCCAAGTCACTGGGATTACAGGTGTGCGCCCCCATAACTGGCCAGCAGGTTTTCTAATGTTGAATCTCTATGCCTGTGTAGCAAATATCAGTTGTTTTCCTTTTCCTTAGGGAGTCCAGCATCAGAACTTCCTTTCCAGGGTAGCCTCCCAAGCTGCTCTCACTGAAGTCTCTATTATGGTTTGGATGTGAGGTGTCCCCCTAAAGCTCATGTGTGAGACAATGCAAGAGGTTTAAAGGAGAAATGAGAGATTATGAGAGCCTTAACCCAATCAGTGAATTAATCCCCTGATGGGATGAACTCAAGTGGTAGCTGAAGGTAGGTAGGGTGTGGCTGGAGAAGGCGGGTCCCTGGGGGTGTGCCTTTGAGGTATATATTTTCTATCTGGAGTGTGGAGTTTCCCTGTTTCCTGATCATCATGTGAGCTGCTTCCCTCCACCACACTCTTCTGTCATGATGGTCAGCCTCACTCTGAGCCCTGAGGAATAGAACCTGCTGTCCATGGACTGAGACCTCTGAAGCCCTAAGCCCCTAAATGAACTCTTCCTCCTCTACGATTGTTCTGGTCAGATCTTTCAGTCCCAGCAGTGAGAAAGCTAAAACAATATCCCTCCCCCATGCTTGAGGGAGCAGATCTTCTCTCACCTGTCCTGCTGGGACCTGCTTTGAGTCCTTGGTGTCTGTCCATTTCCTACTGACTCCATGTCTACTGTGAGCCCCTGAGGTCATTCATAACAGTTTTCTCTTGCTTACCCCAGTCCCCGGCCAGTGACATCTACCCTACTTACAGCTGGTCATCTCTGCTCATGGGTCCTAATCTCACCCATAGAACAGACTGAACTTCTTCCACACTGGTGCTTGTGTAGCACTGCATGAGTGGGTTCTAGAGCACTTCATATCCCTGATAGAGGACACAATTCCATAGGTAACTCTCGGATCACAGTCAATTTCTTTCTTTGCTTCCTTCTTTCTTTGTCTCCCCTGCCCCTTCTTTTCCCTCTCTCTCTTTTGAGGGGTACTAGGGATTGAATCAGGGGCACTTGACCACTGAGCCACATCCCCATTCCTATTTCATGTTTTATTTAGAGACAGAGTCTCACTGAATTGCTTAGTGCCTAGTGCCTCGCTGGCTTTGAACTGTCTATTCTCCTGCCTCAGCCTCCCGAGCTGCTGGGATTACAGGTGTGTGTCACTGCACCCAGCTAGATTTCTTAATAGTTTGTGCCCTCTTAAGGTCAATTATATCCCAGGAACCCTACCCCCAAGAACTATCAAATCCCATCTTTCTCATCCTTGTTATTTAAACACAAAGACAAATATATTGATGGATATTTGTCATTTGCATGCACACTGTCTTCTCTGTTCCATATGGGTCTCATCGGACTGTCAGTTCTTGCCTTCCACCTTAGCACCATCTGCAGGGATGGGGACATGGCCTGGGCATAGCTGACCTTTCCACTTAGGTACCTGCCACCATCTGAGCGCAGACTGGATAACTGGAAGTTCTCTTGCTGATGGTCCTTAGTTGAGACAACATCTTTTGGGGACACAAGTGGCTCTTTCTCCATCTGTGGGAGGAAGTCTATTTCTAGACTGAGAAGAGGGAAACCCTTAGCAGGAAAGCAGAGTTCAAAGACAGAAGGAAGCCAAGTCCTAATATTATTGAAACCCTGTATCTAACTACCTGAGCCAGTAGATGACTTCCCAAGATGAATTGTTTGTCACTTCTAATGGAAAGTCTTGATGTAATAACACCTTTAAAAGAATAAAAACAAAACATTTAATTATGGAAAATAGGGACAAATTTAAAAAAATCAGATTATTTCTAATTCCATTTCTGAGTTACCGAAAAACTGGTATCACAGGGCTGGGGTTGTAGCCCAATGGTAGAGCGCTTGCCTTGCACAAATGAGGCACTGGGTTCAATCCTCAGCACCACATAAAAATAAATAAATAAAATAAAGATAATATTGTGTCCATCTATAGCTAAAAAAAATATTTATAAAAAAACTGGTATCACACTAGGTGTGGGTGTGGCTGTTGCAGACTGAACATGGCTGCTAGCTGGCTTAGCACAGGGCCTCTCTGCAGCCTGAGTTGGCATTCACAGCTTGAGTTTTAGCTAGCATCTTAGGATAGGGCAGCAGATATCCCTGATCTTCTGAGGCTACTCCAGCTGTCTGAACATGACCCAGGCAGCCCAGGCTGTCAGCTCCACCTGCCATGAAGTGGCTACCTGAGCCTTTCCAGCACTAGTGGTGGGACTAGTGCTCACCCAGAATCCCAACAAGTCAAGTCATAGCTGCTCTAACCACTAAGTTTTGCAGAGTTATACAGCGAAAGTTGAGATCAACTGTGTAACTGCATGTCACCATTTCTTCCTCACTATTAAATATCCACCAAGGTTCTTTTGGTTGCCTAAGCATAGGGGGAATGAATTAAAATGTCCCAGAGGTGTGTCAAGGGGCAGAAGGTGACATTAGTAAGAGGAGAGGTGAGCTTTGGTGGGGACTGCAGAGCAGCAGATGGTGGTTTCTTTCTGGAAGCTGCCCTGAACATAGAACTTCAGGTTCTCAGGAGGGACAGTCAAACCATCTCATTGGGGCCAGTGCCCTCTCAGGGTCTTCAATCTGAGATGGGGGATGGGAGGGCACAGACACAAGGAAAAGGCAGTGAAGCCAGGAAATCCCAGTGTGGGAGCTGGATCTGGGTTGCTCATCCACAGACAGGCCTGCTTTTGCTTGTTAATTATGTTGCAATTTCCCAGAAGGTCTTTCCTTTCAAGGCTTTCTGTGCTACTGTATCAGGGCCTCTTTCTATAAAAGCAGGAAAGAGGGGAGGGCTTTTGGAAACTGTAAGGCCTTCCGGGCAACATCAGACACTTCTGCACACTGTAACCACAGGCCACAGGCTTCTGGGTGCAAATGCATTCCTGAGCGGGCTACACGGTGTTGTTGCTCAGGTTGACCTGGAACTTTTGATCTTCCTGCCTCAGTCTCCCCAGTCAATGAGATTACAAAGTATGCCATTGTGCCTGGCACTACGCGGCTTTTAATCAATTAATGAATACTGGTGTGTTAAAGATAAGAAAGGCTTGTATTAAAAGAAAGGTTGGAAGCCAGAGCAACAGATACTGTGAACCAGGAAGAAGCAAGGTGACTGGCATGTGAATGGGCCGCTGAGCGTGGCGGCGGCAATTTGGCTTGGGCTGACCGCTCCCTCCGGCGGGTTAACCCCTGATCTGGGCCTCCGGGGCAGCGCTGGGACGCCGCGGGCTCCGCGCAGAGTGCGGGCAGGGGGGCCTGGGCTGGCGGGCGGAGCTCACGGCGCGGGCGGGGGCCGGGCGGGCGCGTGGGGAGGTGTCTGCTCCCGGCTGGGGCGGCGCCTTGGCGTCGCAGCCGCGGGGCCGCCGACTGCCCGCCGTCGGCGACATCTTGTCAGGAAGCGAGGGACCGCAGCCGCGCTTTAGCTGCTGCGCCACGCGCGCCACGGCCTGAAGAGGTAAGGCCGCCGGCCGCCTACACCCGTGCCCGGAGGTGCTCGGCCCGCTCTCGCTCCTGCTCAGCCCCGGCCTCCGCTTTCCGCCTGTGGAGACTCCCCCGGTGACGGGCCGCCGGGTCCCCTCTAGGAAGCCCGAGTGGCCCCGCCCTCGCTCCTGGACCAGTAGGGCCACCCCCGCCCCCGCCCCGACTCCGCCCAGCCCCTTCAACCGGGAGGGCGGTGACACCTCCCCGAGCCCCCGCCCCGACTCCGCCCAGCCCCCGTGACCTCGAGGGCAGCGACACCGCCCTCGCCCCCTCCCGGCCCCGCCTCCGCCCCCGCCCCCGCCCCGTCCGGGCGGGGCTCCGGGTTTGAAACGCGCGGCGGGCCGGCCCGGGCGGGCGGGGCGGCCTCTGTCGTGTGGGCCCCTCAGGCAGCGGCGCGGAGCGGGCCGGCGGCGGATCGCAGCACCATGTCACCGGGCAGCGGGGTGAAGAGCGAGTACATGAAGCGCTACCGGGAGCCGCGCTGGGACGAGTACGCGCCGTGCTACCGCGAGCTGCTGCGCTACCGCCTCGGCCGCCGGCTGCTGGAGCAGGCGCACGCGCCCTGGCTCTGGGACGCCTGGGGCCCGGACTGCGCCTCGGACGACTCGGCCTCGTCGGCGGCGTCGGGCCCCGCGCCTCGGTGCGCGCTCGCGGACCCCGAGGAGGCCTCGGAGGCCTCGGAGGCCGCGGAGGCCTCGGCGCGTGAGGAGCCCGAGCGGCCTGCTGGGGAGCGGGGCGCGGAGGCCGGGGACGAGCAGGACGCGGCGCAGCCAGGTACCGGGCCGAGGGGCGCGCGAGGGGCCGCGCCGGGGTGGGGCGCTAGGCGTCGAGCTGCCTGGTGTGTTTTTTGCAGCGTTTGGGGCGAAAGCTTCCTGTTTTGTTTTCGGTGACGTGCGGTGAACCTGCCTACCCCCACGGAGTTTGAAGGGCGTTGGCCCCGCCTCTGCCCTCCTACTCTGCATTTCCTTAATTAGGTGGCTCAGCGTCAACCCAGCCGTGTGGCCTCTAAGCACAGCGGGGACCAGGTCTCTCCGTTGGCGATAGCTCCCTCGGCGAGCCCCCGACTCCGTCTGTTTCTTGCGGTCTCTCGCGACTGGAGGAGCTTTCATCACGCTCCCAAAGGCGCCCCGAGAGGTTAGGAGCCCCGGACTGTGCCTGGTCATAATGAGGCCCGTGCTTTCCAAACAAATTCTCCGACCTCTCCGCCCTGTCTCTAAGGAATGCTGTGCGCTTGGGTGCGAGGATGCGCGGTCTACGCTGGCTGCTCTCTGGTACTGCCCACGCGTGACAGTGCGGCCCCGTGCCTGCCGCCGTGCGCAGGCGGCGGCTCTCTTTGGCCATTGCACAGGCCATGGCGCCGTGGCTGCCGGGTGCAGAGCCTTCGGGGTGCGCTGGAGTCCGGGGGGTGCTGGTACCCAGCGCGGAGGTAAAGCCTTCGCACAGCTGGGTGACTCAGGGCTCCTTCCCGCTGCTTGCAGCACTGACCAGGCGCCACCCCGAGGTCTCCGGGTTTTAAGGAGGGTCTAGTGAGAAAAATAAACACTGAGAACTTCAGTCACCGTTCTAGGAATATGTATTTTTCAAAACAACATTAAGACATAGGACCATAGTTTTTATCTCAATTGCATAAACGAACAAGCGGAAGCCCAGGATCAGTGATTGATCAGTCTGAGAAGCTCCACCCATTTCTTTGCTCAGCTCCTCTCAGTTCATCCAAGCAGAGCTACCTTCTCGGTATGATGTCACGTGAATCCCATCCATTCCTGGTGCTCAGGGCTCATTGCTGGAAATTAGAATAAACAGAAGATTGCGGGTGGGTGGGTGGGTGGGTGGGGGAATGGACGTCCCAGTGATGCCTTCCAAGGTGAGGTACATGCAGTATCAGTGCTGTCCAGGGGCCTTGTGGTGTGGTTGAGTGCCTGTGTTTGCCTGCCCAGGTGTGCCTTGTCTTCAGGATTACTGTCGTTGCTTTGGGAGATCCTGACTCCTGGTGGTTCTGAAATTCTTGGTTAAAACGTGTGGTTTGGCATCTAGGAAGAGGGGGATGCCTTCTGCATTCAGGATGGGCTGTTGCGGGCTCTTGTGGCTTTGCAACTCCCTGCCAGAGTTGTTCTCCATTGCTGCGTTGGGAAGATTAGAAGTGTCTTCACTGAGTACTTTTACGTGCTGGAGTGATGGCCAGACTAGGCTTGGAGTGCTACAAAGCACTGAAGCCATTCACACACACAGGATCTGCAGCTCTGCATGGCTATTACAGAAATACAGCCATTCCCCAGCCTCACACACCCCAGCTTCCTGGTGGCTGACTGCTTACCACTCTGTCTTTCCTTTGGTCTTGTCTCTTTTCCAGACAGGGTCTCCTTATGCTGCCTAGGCTGGTCTTAAACTCTTGGGTCCAAGGCGTTGTGCCTCAGCCTCCTGAGTAGCTGGGGCTACAGGCATGTACCACTGTGCCCAGCTGTGTGTTCGTTCTTTCTTTCTTTCCTTCCTTCCTTTTCTTTCTTTCTTTCGCTGGAGATTGAACCCAGGGCCTTGTGCATGCAAGGCAAGCACTCTGCTAACTGAGTTGTGTCCCTAGCCACCTAGCTGTGTTTATTTCTGAATCTCTGAACAATGTGGCTTTTGTGGACAGATCTTGTTTTTTTTTTTTTTTTCAGGGTTTAATGTGGCCTCTTGACTTTCACTCTTCTCACTGCTGTCTTCAGCTGTACACATGGATAGTAGCCTCCTCCTTCCCAACAGCCATGAGCTTCTGCTGGGCTCACTGGTGGTGACCGTGATATTGGGCCTGTGGAAATAGTTGCCCAGGCTGCTTCTTGGGCTCCTTTTTCTTTCTTTCAAATGGAGCTTCATCTGAGCCACTGTCCTGCTCTTCCTTTTTCCCTTGGGGCCTCTGACCTCCTTCTGTCTGGCCTGGCCTGGCTGCCTCTGGGTCCTCTGGCCGGGTGGCCGTCACCTCAGGCTCTTCCTGGCCTCCCTTGGGTGGCAGCCACTGCAGTCTGGCTGTCATGCTTTTTTCTTGGTTTACTCCTTACTGTCTGGGGAAGGGGAAGGGAGGTGAGTGTTGGGGTCTGTGTCCGAGATGGCTTTATCCACCCTCACTGGTGAGACCTGGCTTGCCTGGCATTCTAGGTGAGTCAGGGTCTCCAGGAAGTCAGAAGGTATTTCTCCATTGCCCTGTGACTGCTGACTCCCGGGCCTCCTGGCTGAGGTCCTTGGCCTCTGAAATGGACCCCGTCTGTTCTTGTCCATTGAGCTGGGCACCTGAAGGGCTGTTATAGTGACATGCATGTTTTCCATTCCTGGAAGTTTTCTTGAAGTATTTTGTCATTTCTATATATATTTGTTTTCCCCTATCTTTCTTGTTGCTTCATCTTGCAGTGCTGGGGATGCAGTTCTGGGCGTTGCACATTAGGCAAGTGCTCTACCATTAAGCAGCACATACAGCTCATTCTTTCCTTTCAAGTTTTTTAAAACTGATACATATAACAAAAATTGTACAGCTATATATAGTGTTCCAGTGACATTTTCATTCATATATACACATATAAGGTTTAAATCAGGTTAAGCAGGGCTGGGGATGTGTCTCAAGCGGTAGCCCGCTCGCCTGGCATGCGTGCGGCCCGGGTTCGATCCTCAGCACCACATACAAACAAAGATGTTGTGTCCGCCAAAAACTAAAAAATAAATATTAAAAAAAAAAAAAAAATAAATAAATCAGGTTAAGCATATCTAGCTTATCAAACATTGATCATTTCTTCATGATGAAGACACTCAGAATCCTTCCCTCTGGCTTTTTAAATACACAGTACTTATTGTCCCCTGGAGTCACCTGACCATGCAGTAGGCTCCTGAACTCCTTGTTCCCGTGCAGTGCAATGTAACTTAGTGCCTGTTGTTCAGCTTCTCTGTCCTCCCTGCATCTGTTCTCCCAGTCCCTGGTCTGCTCAGCTCTTCTGAGATCAGCTTTTTAGATTTCACCTATGAGGGAGCTCAGGCAGCCTTTATCTTTCTGTGCCGCCTCCAGTTGCACCCATGCTGTTGCACGTGACAGGAGTCGTCCCTTGCCGTGACTGAGCAACGCTGCTTCACGAATGTGCACCATATTCTCTTCAGCTGTTCCTCTGTGGGGACACAGGTTGTTCCCGTTTCTTGGCATCCCGGATGCAGACATCTCTTGGACATGCTGGCTTCTCTTCCCTTGGATGTGCATCCATGAGTGACATTGCTGGATCGTATGGTAGTTCTATTTCTAATTTTTGGAGGTGCTTCCACACTGTCTTCCAGAATGGCTGTGCTAATGTATATCCCTACTGGCAGCAGGCAGGGGTTCCCTTCTCTGCATCCTTGCTGACTCTTGTTACCTCTTGTCTTTTTATATTAGCGTTCTTACTGGAGTGAGGAGACATTGTGGTTTTGGTTTGCATTCCCTGATGGCTAGTGACATTGAGCTTTTTTTTTTTTAATGTCTTCTTTTGAGAAATGTCTGTTGCTCATTTTTAAATTGGATTATATGTGGATTTTTGCTGTTGAGTTTTTGGAGTTCTTATATATTCTGGATACGAATCTTAGATATAGTTTGTGTTTTCCTTTCTGCATTCCTTGACTAGATGTTAGTCTTTGTGAATTTATCCTCCACTTTTAAAATTTTTCTTTCCTAATTTTCATCTTTCTTTCTGTTCTGTTTTCTGGGTAACATTCAGCTGTATCTTCCAACTCTTACTGCATTTTTCATTTGTGGGGTCCTATTTTTTTAACTTAAGATTCACTGAATCATTTTCTGGGCCTGCCTGCCTCCCAGCCTGTCTCCCTCCCTCCCTGGTTCCCGGCCTCCCTTCCTCTCTGCTTCCCTCCCTCCCTCCCTCCCTTTCTCCTTTTCTCCCTCCCAGCCTCCCTGCCTCCTTCCCTCCCTGCCTGCCTCCCAGCCTGCCTCCCTCCCTTCCTCCTTGCCTCCCTCCCTTTCTCCCAGCCTCCCTCCCTCCCTCTCTATCTCCCTTTCTCTCTCCCAGCCTCCCAGCCTCTCTCCCTTCCTGCCCTGCCTCCCAGCCTTTCTCCCTCCTAGCCTCACTCCCTCCCTCCCAGCCTCACTCCCTCCTTCTGTCCTTCCCACCCTCTTTTTTATTCCTTTTTGAAAACAAAATCTCTGGTTTTTATTGGGACACATATTGTCTTGTCTTGCTGAGGACATTACTAGATTCTGTGTGCTTTCTTCTCTGTGCTGCATTAGCACAGTCTATTTTCCCATCCTCCGTTTTTGTTTTGGCTTGTAATTCTGGACTGTTAGAAGCTTTTTTCAAGTGTGTGGTGATTCTCAGGTCCTTATTTTGCTTAAGAGATGGGTCAGGAAGGCTCTTTGGAAGTTCCCTGCATGTATATGGGAGGTGGGAGTGCTGAGTGTGGGACCCCTAGAGCAACTAGACTATCTCCAGTTTCTTATTTATTGGACCCAGAGGTTACCACTAAGCCACATCCCTGGCCCTGTTTTTATCTTATTTTGAGACAGGGACAAAGATACCTGCCTCTGCCTCCTGAGTGGCTGGGATGACAGGCGTGTGCCACCTCGATTGGCTTACACTGAATCTTTTCTTTAGCAGAGGGTAGGTGGTGTGATTTTAAACAGTGTGTCTGAAGTAAGAAAAGCCGTCCTGCCCACCTCCTGCCCTGCTCACCCAGCTCTTCCTGGCTCCCTTGCAGCTTCATCCCCTCCCTGTTTAGGCTTCCTTGGTGGCTTTGGTTTTAGACTTTCTAAACATTCACATTTCATAGGGTGAAGT